GCAGCAGCCAGGAGGAGGACTCTCGCTCAGGGGGCGTGCTTGCTCCTCTACCCCTGCCCTAGCTCCGCCTAGGTTGGGTCCTTCCTTCCTGACGCCAAGGCCATGTTATCTCCAGTGTGCTGAGTCCCCTGTCTTTCCTCGGCTTTGCTGCAGGCTGCCAGGGCTTGGGTCCCAGTCAGTCCGCAGGCCAGGCTCCTCCTTGTGCACATAAGGGAACTAAGGTGCAGAGAGTGGACAGGCTCACCCACGGCCATGGGTAGCAGAGTAGACACCAGGACCCCCTGACTTTCTGTCCTGTGCCTTCCTGTCTGGAGACCCCTGTCCTTCACCTCTCTGTCACCTGCACCCATTAGCAATTCCTGGAAGCACTCGTCTCTGCTGGGGGAGGGGACCGTTGGCCACTGTGACTTCCCAACTCGCAGTATCAGAGATCTGCCCAGACTGTTCCCTCCTTCCCTCCGGGGCAGGGAGAGCTTCGCTCCCCCCAGGGCTATAGGGGCTGCTGGCGCCAGGGTGCGGCCAGGGCCCAGCAGCATCAGATGGGACTGATTAAGTTCCTCAGCAGGCCTCAGTTTCCTCATCTGTCCAGCAGACATCATTCAGTCCTGCCTTCCTCCTAAGGCTGTGTGACAGTCAGATGGAAAGACAGTGCTTGGAAAACTACGAGGTATTTTGCACATGTTACTGGTTATGTAAATGCCTATCATTTGGGGGTCTGGGAGCCCCTCTCCTGGTGACAGCACATGACAGTCTCAGGAGGGCTGAAGCATTTCAGGGCAGAAGCTGGGATGTAAATTTAATTCTGAATCTCACCTTTCCAAACCTCTTCTTTGTGGGTGGGGGCTGCGAGTTGGGCCCATGCCCCCGTTCCCGTAGCTGCCGCCTGTCACACTGCCACCCCCCCTCCTCTTTTTGGGCTGGTGGCTTCTTTGGTTTCAACAGACTCTCTTCTGTCTTCACACTCTGTGCCTGGCCTGTCTGTCTGGGCCCCTTTCTGCCCCCAAACCAGGCCTTTCTGGTTCCAGTGGGCACCCCAGCATCCCTCAGGGCTGGCTGTGGGAACGCCCCCACCCCCCCACCCCATACCCCCATCCTCCCCAGCCCCCAGCTGAGGTCTCGTTTTTTTGGAAGAAGGTCTGAGCTGGTTGCCTCTTCACCACCAGCTGCTCACCTGCTGATCTGTGGCTGCGGGAACCAGGCCCAGGTGGATACGGAGTCTAGGCTAGACTGTACAGGAATGTGGAGCGGGGCCTCTACTTTGCAGTGGGATCCCGGTGCTGGAGCAGGAACGGGGGTGGGGCACTGGGCAGGCTGGGGAGAGAGCGGGGGCCCTCTGGTTCCAGCTCCAGCCTGACTTTTGGGGACTTTGGTCCTTGTGCTCTGGTCCTGACTGGCGGCCTTCATACCATGAGAGAGAGTCAGAGGGCCCCAGGACCCTAGGTGCTGAGCTTCCTCCCACACTGACCCAGGCAAGGGGCGGGGGCTGTGACCAGAGCAGGTCAGCCTCAGGGGAGGGTGGTAACGCAGTCCCCCATCCAGAGAGTCCCTGGACACTGACCCAGGGGTGGTCTCGGCCTCGCTGGCCTGGAGGTTCCTGTGCAGCCCTGCCATCCTGGGAATGATCCCTGTCTCCAGGAAAGGTCACACAAACCGTGCTGAGCAGGAGGCGAGTTCCCGTCTGCCCGGCAGTCATCCTGGAACTGCTGACGACCATCTGGGCGTGAGGTCAGCAGGACGTGGAAATTCCCCATTTCTCTCTTTGTCTCTCTTTCCTCCAGAAGTCCAGGCCCTCCCTTGGGTGAATCCTCTGATCTCCAGGGAGGGTTTTCTCACGGTAGACAGTTCCGTCTTTTTTCCATCTGCCCACTGCCTGGCAGCCTGTTCTTTTCCCACTGAGGCTGGAGTTGGGGAGAACAGCGCTGCCTGCCCCCTCTTTTGCCTCCCTGAACCCCCTTTCCCATCAGCTCCCCGGTGCTGAGGGAGAGCCCTGAGTGTTGTGTGGTTTGGAGGATGTGGAGATGGGGTTTCAGTTCCTCTGTCCTGCATCCTGCTGTGTCTCCCGGTAACATCTGGGCACCTCTCAGGGCGCAGGGCTGTGCCAGCCCTGATTCCAGAAGTGTGTGGCCGGCCAGAGTGCCTCTGGTCAGCGGGTCACGGCCAGGCTCCTGGGGTGTGTGCACAGGGCCTCCCAGGAAGCGGGGGCAGGGTTAGGGGCTCCTCTGGTCCTGCCTCTTTCTGCTCTGAATCGAGATTTATCGAGGCCGTGTTTTGGACCACCCAGAAGATACTCTGGTAGACCAGATGGACTGTTCTCATGGAGCTTACCAGTCTATTGGGCAAGCCAGACATGAAGCAAAAATCATATACCCAAATGACCACGTCATGGCACCGGTCAGTTCCACTTGGGGTGGGTGTAGAGTGGTGGGCGGGATCCGGAACTCCCGTCCCCAGTTACCACCGAAGGTGGCTACGAGCCCCGTCCAGCTCTCAGTCTCCGCCGCCTGAACTGCATTCCGCTGTCAGCCACGGCCCACCTTCCAAGTGAAAAGCGAGACGTTCTCAAAGGCACAGGTGCTTGCAGCAGTCAGATGCGTCGGCCCACAGCAGCTGTGAGTGTTTGCCAGAGGGGGGAGCACCCAGCGAGGACCCTCCCCGCCCCCGCATCTGCCAGCATCTCGCTACCTTGCTGTAGGCCAGGCTCTGTGCCGAGGGCTCCGCCCACTCCGTCTCTTCGTTCAGTGAACAGGTCAGGGCTTTCTTCTGCCGCCTTCTGCTGTGTAGCACTGACCTTTCAAGTTCAAAACAAGGCCCCCTCCCCCACCCACTGAGCTGAGCGGGCGACTTTCGTGTTGGCGGGCAGGCAGCTGTCCTTTGCCTCCGTGGGGCCCAGCAGGGCGTGGGAGCCTTCCAAGTGTGTGTGCATCTCCTCTGTTCGTCAGTCTTTGGAGGAGGGGTCCCGCTCACCAGAACTTTGTTTGTGCACCTCTGGACAAAATCCTGCTTATTTCTTGTGCGTCAAGGCAAGGGAACTAGCCTAGAGGGCATCTAATAGCCCCGTGTCACCCTACAAACTGGCTTGGACTCCTCTGCCTGCATCTTGTGGGGGCAGTTGTACGAGGTGGCAGGGGGTTAACCCAGCTTTCTTAGGCAGAGTGGGATTCCCATCTTTGCTGTCACCTGTTGGCCAGGTAACCCTCACCTCACTAAGCCTCCCTTATGAGACGAAGACAGTGGCGTGTGTATTTTAGGGCGGTTGTGTGGCTGACCTGAGGTAATGGACCTGAAGCGTTTAAAGTGAGTGCCTGGCAAGTAGATGATTCATTCATGAATGGTGGCCGTTATTATTAGTCCTTTTTCACTTTTTTCTATCGGGGAGCATTGTGTGGGCGCGCAAAGGGCCGTTGGGGATTCCTGACTGAAAGAGTTTTTGCCCTGGGGGTGGTGATCTTTGGCGGGAGGTTTCGGGGCCCCAAGTCCTTATGAGGTCTGGTGGAACTCTTTTGTGTTGGGGAAGCTCTTTGTGGTGCTGGTGGCTGAATGGGTTTTTCAGCCTCCGCGCCTTTGCACTTACTGCTCTGTCTTCCTGGACTAGTCTTCCCCCGATGTCTGTGTGGCTGGTTCCCTCCCCTCCCGTCGGGTCTTTGCTGAAATAACTCTCCGTGAGGCCTTGCCCGACAGTTCCATTTACGATTGAAGTCCCTGCCACATGCTTTCCTGTTTAATTTTTGTCCATAGTCATTTTCTTTTTTTTAAAAGATTTTGTTTATTTTTAGGCAGAGGGGAAGGGTGGGAGAGAGGGAGAGAAACATCAGTGTGTGGTCACCTCTTGTGTGCCCCCTATTGGGGACCTGGCCCCCAACCCAGGCATGTGTCCTGACTGGGAATCGAACCAATGACCCTTTGGTTCACAGGCCTGCACTCAATCCATTGAGCCACAGCCAGGGCTCCGTATCCATTTTCATCACCCCTAATACTATGTCTGACTGTCTGTGTCTGTCTGTCTGTCTGTCTATCTATCATCCCTACCACTAGAATGTAAGCTCCATGAGGGATTTTTGTCTGTTTTATTGGCTGGTAACTTCCCAGCACCCAAACTCATGTCCAGCACAGAGTAGGTGCTCAATGAAAAAATTGTTGAATGAATGAACGAACGCAAAAAAGAAGTTTCTCTATACTAAGCCATAGAACTAGGATTCTGAAATCACTTTGCTGAGTGGTTTCAACTGAAAGAAAGCAGATGAAATTTAACAGATTAATGCAAAACACTTACTGTGTAAGCAGAGAGGGGTTTGGTGGAAAATCCATCTGTTCATTAGAACCAGAAGGGACAGACCATACTTGGTGTGAGGCTGAAGGAGGAGGCTGCCAGTATTAATTAGTTTATTAAATAATGGTCAGGGTTTTTTCTTATTCTTTATAAAAAAGATGACGTGCGCGTGTAAGTGGAACTTTGGATTGTATTGACTTGCTTATCCCTTAGGGCATAAGCATTTCACTTTAAAGATCACTGATTCAGTGTAAGACTTTCATTTCCCCTCCTCCGAGGGGAAGGGACTGCCCGCGATTGCACAGCGAGTTAATGGTCAGGCCACTGGCTTGTGCAGTACGTGTTTGTGGGGTACTCATTGCCTAGCTGGTGCTGTGTCGGGTGCTGGGGATGCTGTGATGCGGGGTCCCTGTCCTCGACCCCACGGACAGGACATGAACTCAAGTGTTTCGACTCCAAGTCCCGCACTTTCTTGTACCCCATCCGTGTTGCACCTCACAGTTGGTTGCTTTTCCAAATGAGCCAGCCGTGCAGTAAGCTGCTGAAAGAAACTGATGCCATTCTTAGGTTGCATTAATAGAGGCAGAGCATCCAGATCAAAGAAGGTGACTGTCCTGTGCTGCGGTACTGTGGCCAGAGGAGTGCCGTGTTCTCTTCTGGGCTATGGGACCTGCCTTCTGGGGCCCCTCAGTGGTCTGGCCAGCCCCCTGATCTCCTGCTGTTGTCCTTACAGCCAGGCGGGCACCACGGCAGGGGCTGAGCCACCCTCATGGAAGGGAGAGGACCTTACCGGATCTACGACCCTGGGGGCGGCGTGCCTCCAGGAGAGGCGTCTGCAGCTTTTGAGCGCCTAGTGGAGGAGAATTCCCGACTAAAGGAAAAAATGCAAGGGATAAAGATGTTAGGTAAAGCAGACCCTGCACTCTGCCCGCAAGCCTCCTCCCTGTAGCCCGCGCCGCCCGCTGGCATGTGCCCCCATCCACGTCCCCCTCTGTCCTTCCTGGCCCTGTGCTGGCTCCTGCCCCCCAGCTGTGTCTTCAGGCACCTCTGTAGAATGGTGGCAGCGTTCCCAGCCCTGAGTCCCCAGCACCCCGGAACCATGAGGACAGGACTCAGAACACCTTGAGGGGCTGAGGAGGAGGTGTGGGGCCAGGAGTAGGGAGCTGGAAGGCCCATTTTGTGGATGTGGAAACAGAGCGGCCTTGTCTCCCAGAAGCCCCAGAGAGAGGGAGAACTGATATCTCCAGGGCAACCGGGGTTCAGTCCCGCCGGAGCAGGGCCGGAGCAGGGCCCTTGATCTGTTTTGTGCTCGAACTGTCCCCACCGCCCAGAGCAGCCCCACCTGCACCGCATAGTTGAGTCTTCCCTGTCCGTCAGCACCAGCTCCGATGCCGCCGTCTCCTCCTTGAGAGACACCCGTTTGTTTCCCTGTGCAGAGGGGTCTCTCTTTTCTCCACACTCCTAAGACTCTTCCTTTGCCTTGCTGCCACCTTCTCCAGTCTTAGGCTTTGGGGGCGAGCTCAGTTCCCCAATTTTCCAAATGCTTTCTTCTTGCATCGCAGACTGCTGCTTGGAATGGCAGATTGGGGGAAAAGGAGTGGAACCGCCCCTTCTCCACTTGTGGGGGAAGGAAAGCTGAGGCCCAGAGGGGTTGGTGTTAATGAGGGTCTCGTCCCTTCAGACTGGCCCTGACTGTGGGTGCAGGCTGAGGGTGGCCCCTGGGCCCTGATGGTGGGTTTCAGAGAGCCCTGGATTTCTGTGGAGTCCCGGCCAACTGCGGGGGGGAATGAGGCAGCAAGAGGGTGCCCGGGGCCAGGAGTTTGTTCTAGATTCCCCTCCACTCCTTCTTCCCTGATCGCAGGGCCCTCTTCCTTACCGGCCTGTTTCTGGTTGTGGGCTGGAATGACGTATGTCCCAGTTGACCTACAAGACAATGGTGGGAGTCAGGTCCAGGGCCTGGAGTGTCAAAAGCCAGGCCACAGCAGGCTCAGTGGCGTGGGGTGGGGAGAACCTGCGCACAGAGCTAACTCCTCTCGCTCCTCCTCTCCCCGTTCTTTCTAGGGGAACTTCTGGAGGAGTCCCAGATGGAAGCGTCCCGGCTGCGGCAGAAGGCAGAGGAGCTGGTCAAGGACAATGAGCCGCTCCCCCCGCTGTCTCCCACATTGGCCTCCTTTGACCACCTGCCCGAGCTCACAGGTCCAAGGGGACCCCGGGGTGTCCTCGCCCTTTCCCTGCACTCCCAACTCCCTGAACCCTCAGCAGGGGACTGCCTTCTTGTTCAGAAGCCCACATCTCCTTCATTTGCCCTTGGGCCGCAGGCCCTGCCCCCAGTCATGCTTGGGGTGAGATGTCAGAATGTTCTTGTCCCCAAATGGCTGGTGACTCAGCATTCTGGAGACCCTGGCAGACACTAGTTATGGACCATAGCAATCCCCTGGACCCGGGATGTGACCTCAGCATCTTTATCAGCCTATTTAGTTAGCAGATGTTTAATGAGCAGCTACTGTGTGCCAGGCAGAGCGCTCTAGGCATCTACTTAGAGTCCCTCGGGGTTGGCATAGGAGTCGAAGGTTCTCTGGCCTGGCCCCCCTCCTTCCATTTTACAGCTGGGGAAGCTGAGGCCCATGGGAGAATCTGGACTTGCCTCTTATCCTCCCACAGTGTATTTCAGGTGTAAGGGCACATGTGCTACCCGCTAGTGGCAAGTGCCGACAGTGACTAAAGGTTACAGTCCTCTGGTGTGTCTCTGAGTCCAGGGCAGGGCCTGGGGCTCTGGGGAGAGGTCGCACACATGGGGCTTGGCGGGGGGCCTCCTGCTGCAGCCCCGCCCGCATACTCGGCCCAGGCCAGCGTGCCAGCCTTCCACCTGGCTGGTGGTCACGTCAGCTGAATGCACAAGTGGAGGAAAGTGATGACCTCGGGGTCCAGTCGGTGGGCGTATCCAGCCTCCGCTTCTCCCTTCGGCCATGTTGTCTGAGCCCCGGCTTGGCACCAGATCCATCTCTGGGTGAGGTGTGCAGCCGCCCTCCAGGGGCTCCCTGTGACAAGAGCCGCAGGGGGTCCGGGAGGGACAGCCAAGTGTGAGTCCTGGATTTTCAGTCTCTGGCTGTGTGTCTGAGGGCCAGTTGGTGACTTTTCTAGGCCTTGGTTTCCTCACCTTTAAACTGGGAACTCAGAGCTGCCGTGAGGATTGGCTGAGATAATACAATAACACTTCGCTGAGTGTAAACCGTCCTCCCTGTCATCACTGAGGCAGGTCCCGGGTAGCAAGGAGCAGTGGCCAGCAAGTCCAGGGACGATGGTCTCTCTGCCCAGGTTCTGTTCCCGTGGTTCCAGGGCTGGTCGTTACCCCAGGCTCCCTGGCCCCGGTGGGAATACCTCCCAGATGTCTCCCGGGCTCCTCCCCTCCCCTGCTGCTCATTTACGTTCTCTCAATTCTCTAGGAAAAGATGCGAATGTCCCAGCACCCCCTACCAGCCCTGCACACCCCAGTGACAAGCCAGAGCCCGTCCAGAAACCTCCGTCCAGTGTAAGTTGCATCTGGTGTCCTGGCCGAAAGTTGCCTGGGCTTCAAGGTCGCTTTGACACATACAAGGGCATGACCAGAGAGGGTTGGGGTCTGGAAGCCCAGAGTCCGACTTGCTGGCAGATGTTGGGCAAGCCAGTCTCAGCCTCTCTGGGGTGTGGTTTCCCCACGTTTAAATGAAGGTCACAGTTAAAATCACCAGGGAGACCCTGGTGCACACAAGCAGTCCTTCCAGCACACCAAGCTGCGTGATGTGGAGTGTGTACTGGCCAGCGTGAGGAAAATGGGTGGGCGTGACGGCGAGCCCACCTCCCGCGGGGGTTCAGAAACTGTCTGGCACGGGTTTGCCTTGAGAAATTGCACTTGGTGTCCTGGGGTCGGAAGGGACTCAGGGATTGTGTCACTTGGCATTGTCACCCTATGGATCAGGTTCAGAGTGAGAGGAGCACTTTCCCAGGTCAGGGAGACAGCAGAGGAAGGATAGAAGTGAAGGGAGATTTTTTTAGGGCACGGCCAAGATTCAGAGCTGGCTTCCTGGTGGCCGTGAGGCTCAGCAAAAGCTTCAAGCGGAGATCCTCCTGGCCATGCTCACCCCCCTGCCCTTTCCGAGGGGAGGCCAACATCGCCTTCATAGTCCAGGGGCGGCACCGGGGCTTTTCCCTGTTCGCTGTCACACTCCGGGGTGCCACAGCAACTCCAGAGCCAGTCGCTGGTTCCCAGGGACCATCGGCCCATCTGGTAACGAGTGCATTCTGCTTGGAGTGGCTGAGAAATGAGAAAAAGACCGGGAACCCTGGACCATCCTGGTTTTGGATGAATCCTGCAAATACCCACATTAGTTGACACATCTTTGGGATTTATCCCAAGTGGGTTTGGCAAGGTTGGTGCAGGACCACTTGACAGTGGCCACACTGACCACATCTGTGTTCTCCAGGTGACCAGTTGGGGGCGCCAGGGCCTGGGAGACAGCTCTGGTGCCGCAGCAGGAATGTGGGCTTTGCAGGCCTTGGGTTCAGTCCCTACTTTCTGCACTGAGTGCCCTCAGTTTCCTCGTCTAGTCAAGGGGTTGTAACCCTGTCACTGTACTGGAGCTCCTGAAAATATTTTAAAAGCGCAAATTAAAAAAAAAGAAGGCCCTAGAGTCTAGTGGTTTAAGATCATCTGGCCCAGTCTCCCTGTGTCACAGAGGGGAGGCGAGCTCACAGGGGGTGGGCTGTGGGCAGACTTGTTGGGAACCCTGCTTCGAGGTTCCGGTGAACTGGGGTGTGATGGCCGGGGAGCCCAGCTCCACACACGGGCTGCCCAGCTGACCTGGATGTGGGAAGAGATTTTGTCCCTCCATCTCTGCCCTGCCCTGTTGCTCTCAGCTGTGGGTTCCCACACAAGGGGCGAGGGGTCCTTCTCCCAGGCAGCCCCTAACTCCCTTTCTGCACAGGGCACCTCGTCCGAATTTGAAGTGGTCCCTGCCGAGGAGCAGAGCTCTCCCCCGCAGAGCAGCGGCCGCACCAGAAACACAGTGGTGAGTGGATGGCAGATCCCTGGGCGTATCCCATGTCTCCTCTCTGTTTCAGTCACCTGCCCTGGGCGAGAGGCACACGGCCCGCTCAGGTCCCTGGGGCACTCTGGGGTCACTTGGGGATACATGGGGGGCCCGAGCAGGGGATGCTTCTCACTCGCCTATGCAAATCCCTTGCTGGTGACTTCCCCTACTTGGGTCACACAGTTGCCCGATCATTGTGAAAGCCTGGGCACATCCCCAGCCCCGCCGGCTTTCTCTGAATTCCGGGCACCTCCGTGCACTATGACTCAGCCTCGGGGCCGGTGGGCTTCCGCCCGGGTGGGAGACCAAGGGTCAGGGAGGCCCAGAGCAGCGTGTGGCAGGTGATTTACCTTTTGTGCAGGCTATTAGAATGGTCCAGTGTTTTGTCTCCTCAAAACTTCTGTCCTCTTGTCCTGTTTTGTCCCTGAGGGCTCTCTCTGAGAAGCTGGCACAGACAGCAAGGACCTCCTGCTCAGAAAGTATTTGCTCTATGACCTTGGACCTGTAACTTCATCTCACTAATAAGTTCCTCCTTAGCCCCACCATGTGCCTAGTCTGTGCTGAGCAAAGAAAAGATGGCCGCCCTGCCCTCCCAGGCACGTGTAGGCTAATTGGACAGATTAGAGGATGAAGCGATTCTCAAGCCTGAAATAGAGCAGCATTCGCCACCTGCAGTCCTCTGTGAGGAGGGGCAGTAGGGGCGAATGCAGAATCGGAGGAGTAGTGCTCTCTCCCATTAGAACAAGGTGCTAGCGGTATTCCACAGGCATTCACTGAACTTCAAGAAGCTTAAGTTCCAGTCCTGGCTCTGCCACTGACCCACTGGGTGACTCTGGGCAAGTTCCTTACCCCCATACCCTGGTTTCCCAGACCGGACCCTGAGGCTCCCCGTAGCCCCCCTGAAACTTCCATACATGTTCAGGGCCGGGGGTGCTGCTAGAGGAGCTGAAAGTGGGCAGGGCGAGGGAGGATGAGCACAGGGACACGGGGGGCAAAGCCTGAGAAGGTGAGGGGCCTCCACCAGAGGACGGTGGGGTCTCAGGTGGTGGCCGGGGAGCTGTGCTTGCGGTGGTGAGCTGTAAGGTGCCACTGTGGACCTGCAGGTGCGGTGTTGGCACACTGAGGTGCTGTCTCTGGAAGAGTTGTTTTAGGCACAGGAGCGATGGAGAGAGATTGACTGATTATTGAAATTGGACTGTCTTGCCCACGGTGTGCTTCTTGCTTATATAGTCTACTGGATTGGGAGTCTTTGAAATATCTAGAGCTGTGATTCTTAACCTGTCTTGAGTCTTGGGTCCTCTGAGAAGCTGTTGAATGCTTGGGCCGTTTCCCAGAAGACACATGTATAGATGTAAAAGTCAGGCAGTTCCGGTCTCTGTGTGGCCCCCTGGTCAGGACTCCCTGAGCCCAAGAGGCAGGACTGTATCTAGAGTGAGACCCCTTTCGTGGGCTTGCTGCTGCCACTTACCGGCTCGCCCTCCTGAGAACCCTGAGAGACAGAGAAGGGGACAGGGTGTGTGTCCTCTCGGTAGAGGAGGCTTCTGAGGCCCCACGATGCGTGATCCGCCCTCAGGCACTCAGCGAGGCCCACTCGTGGGAGGAGGGTGTGGGAGGAGGGAGAATGGCTCCACTGCTGGCGAGCCAGCTGGTGGCCTGGGAGCCCCGGGTCCTGCCCTGTGAGTCAGCCCCAGACAGGGAACCTGTGTAACTGGAGAATTTCCCTGGGCCGAGCTGGGATCAGAGGGGGAAACTGAGTCATGAGGAATCGGGAAGCAGAGGGAGAATGGCCAGCGACACCTGCTCAGCCTCTGCTAAAGTATGGTGCTTGCCCCCTCCCCCCACCAGGAGCTGGGCCCCCTGCCCCATGAGGACAGCAACCTGATGCTGCACCTGCAGCGCCTGGAGACCACCCTGAGCGTGTGCGCAGAGGAGCCAGACCACAGCCAGCTCTTCACACACCTGGGCCGCATGGCCCTTGAGTTCAACCGGCTGGCCTCCAAGGTGCACAAGAATGAGCAGCGCACCTCCATCTTGCAGGTGAGGCCGGCTGGGGAGGGTCCCCGGGACGGGCCAGTGTGCTTCCTTCTCCACCTCTTCCCGCTCTTCTTGGGAACCCCGGGTGCCCTGGGGACTTCCGAGAGTGACGCTGACGTTGGGGGCCGATTTTGGGCCTCTTGTTTGGGGTGGGGAGCAGGGTAAGGAAGTTGTGGGGAGGAACGAGGAAGAGGAAGGAAATTGGGAAATCGGGGTTGGCAGTGCATATTTCATGGTCAGGGTACCCTCAGGCCGGGGATGTGGGCAGGTGGCAAAGGCCCCGCCTGGTTTTCTGCAGATCGGTGGGGAGAGGGAGGGAGCAAAGGCATTATTCCCACTTCACCGGTGGGGACGCAGCCTTTGAGAGGTGATTTTTTTTTTTTTTTTTTTTTTTTTGGCCTAATGTTGCCCAGCTGGTAGATGGTGCACTTGGGATTTCAACGTCAGTCTGTCGTATTCCAAAGCCCTCGAGAGGGAGTCCTGTCAACCTCTGCTATTTTTTGTATCAGGCCTCTCTGTTGGTTTCCTTCTTAGCTCTTGCTAGAGTTTATAGTAATTTTATTTTATTAGGTGGTTTGTTTACTTTGTGGGTTTTTTCCTTGCACTTCCCTCTAGACTGTAAGCCTCACAAGAGAGGCAGGTACCTTGTCTGTCATAGTCGTCAGTGTATCCCAGTGCCTGGCACTTAATAGGTGCTTAATGCACATTTGGTGAACGGATGAATGGATGAATGAACAAACAAACTAACGAACTCACAGGTGAGCTCTCAGCCCCTTTTACGGGACGCGATGACGTTTGTGACGACCTTTCTCCATCAGCTGCGTCGTGCCCTGGGGCATTTTCCCAGAAACTTGGAAGAAACAGCCCTCTAGCCTAGAAGGGTGGACGACACGTGAGGCCACGTCCTGAACTTCCCTCAGTGGCCAGGAGCAGGACATTCTGTTCCCTGGAGGCCCCGCCCAGGGCTGTGGCATGCTGGGTATCTGCCCCACCTGTGGGTAGAGGCGCATTCCTCCAGTTCCTCTTCATTCATTCGTTGACTTGTTTCTTGGTTTACTCGACAGACATTGTCCAGGCCGGGTATGGTACAAGGCCTCTGCTGGCAGTGGGAGCAGTTATAGTAGTTTTCTCTTCCCTTCGCCTTGGACCCCTCCTATCTGACCACCCCCGGGTTCAGGCTTCAGTGCCTTCCCAGGTCTCTCCTGCGAACCAAACTGCTCTGAAATCCCTTCGGAGAACATAAAAGTTTTCTCTCGTTCCACATGGCAGGGAATGCCTTGTTTCTGCTCCACATTTAGTTTAGTGGCCCACTTATCTCATGGCCTTTAGAATGTGAGGCAGCCACAGGTACTGGGGAGAAGAGGCCGGAAGGGCACATGCCTTGCACTTGACATTCCTTGGCCAGAACTAGTCACGTGGTTGCATTGAGCCCTGGGGAAATGGAAGTGGAAGGGAACAGGTGGACCATCTGGTAAATTTCAGAGTCTCTGCCCCCTGCCCAGCTCATGGCCATTAACTGCCTTCTCTGCTCTTACAGGGCGTTTGGGGGAGGAAGGGGGGCAGGGAAAGAGACTAGGTGAGGGCCTGCCAGATGGAGTTTAATCCCCTTGGTGGTTCTTAACAGCTGTGCAACCTCATGCAAATTAGTTCACCTGCATTGGCCCACTTTGAAAACAGAGATGAATTATGTAGTAGCTTTGGGGACGCTGTGAGACTCCGATGACACAGTGAGTGAAAGAGCACCCAGTCACGTAGCTGGCTCGGTTAGGTGCTCACTGAGTATTTGTTGAAAGATTGAGAACTCAGTAATGACACGGTGCAGCACCATCACTGTGGTTGTAGCCCCTGTCCTGTCCTCCAGCATCAACCTGCACTAGGGGTGCACCCCTTCCCTTCCCTCGCCCTCATCTGTCCCTCTGCCCTGCAGACCCTGTGTGAGCAGCTCCGGAAGGAGAATGAGGCTCTGAAGGCCAAACTGGACAAGGGCCTAGAACAGCGGGACCAGGCTGCTGAGAGGCTGCGGTAGGTCCAGGCTCCCAGAGCCGGGGTGAGGAGTGGGATGGCCAGGAGGAGGCGGTGGTGCATGGCACTGATTTCCTTGCTGAGGGCTCTGGGGCCTGTGCCCATGGCCCTGCTTTGGATGCCTCTTGGTTCTTCTCCTTGGGTACCTTGGGGAGTGTCTGTTTATAAAGTGTCTTGAGAACTTCAGAAGCAGGTCTGTGCAGATTGCACTTCTTCCTTGGGAACTTGCCCCTAAGCTAACAGCTGCTGGTTAGCTGTAGGAGAGAGGGCTGGGGACTTTGCTCCCCCTTCTGGTCATCATTCTGTTCTGCAGTTGTCCTGAGAACAGTCAGGGCTTAGTGAGTCCCAGACCTGATCATGCATCGGGGTCACCGAGGGTCAGGAAGGCATACAGGTGTACACTCCCACCCTCCCTGCTCTGCCAAGATTCTGAGCCCATGGGTCTGAGGCAAGATCTAGGCATCTGCATTTTCCAGAGGGCCTTTGGAAAGGTTTTTGCTGTGAGCCGGCCCAGGATCACATTTGAGAAGCACAGATCTTGACCGTCAGAACTCGGAGGGCCCTTTGAGGTCATGCGGGCTAAACCGTGACCTCGCTGTGTGGAGGGAGACTGAGTCTCAGAGACAGGTGCGTGAGGTCCAGGTGGAGTAATGAGCAACTACTGAGCCTCTGTCCACTTTTAATCTGCATGCATTTATTTATTTCTAAGCAGTTGGAGTCTTGTAGCTATAAGGACTCCATCCATGGACCCAAAAACCCGGGCTGGAGGAAAGACTCATGACTAGAGGGCAAGAGTCAGGACCCCGCTGTGTGACCTGGGGAAAGCCACTTTACCTCTCTGTTTCTCTGTTGTCACGTGGAAACCCAGCTGACAAATAGAACTTAAACACTTTCCACATTCCAGTCACACCTGAAATCTGTGTCACCACTTTCATTACATCCTGTATCACCTATCTTATTATTTACTTAAGAATTTACTTTAATTCGAACCATGTTTTTTGACTTAAAATTGTTACGAGGAAAGCTTTCATTAGACTAAGTAGAAGACTGCGTTACCTCTCATAAATAAACTATAACTCCAGCAATAAATGCAGTGAAACGGGAGGGTGTTCATAATTCTGGCAAAGTACGTTGCCCACTGAAGGCTCTGAGCTGGAGATTGGGGAGTGCTGGAGAGGTGCTTAGCACCTACTAACTGCGACTTTCCCTTCCTGTACATGGGAGGTTCAAACACAAGTGGAAAAGATGTCCTTTCCTCACCAGAGTGTGGCCCAGGGTTATTCAATGCAGGTTAGGTTGTGTCCTGAAGATCTTCTGTGTACAGGCATCCCAGCGTTGGGGAAACCCTGCTGCTGATTGGCGACTTCTAGGGAGGCCCACAGATTGCCCCCACGTGGCTTAAGGATGTCCTTTTTGGTTCCAGCTGAGGGAGGTTTCAGGGCTCCCCCCGGTCCTTTCACCCCAGGATTCAGATGAGTAGTAGGTCCGAGGCCCCTGGCCTCCCCAACCCAGGGCCAGCACGTGACCTCTGTTTGCCTTCGACCCAGGGAGGAGAACATGGAGCTCAAGAAGTTGCTGATGAGCGGCGGCAAAGAGGATGCCTGCGGGCAGCTGGGCTCACCCAAGGTGGAAGGCACGGGCAAGAAGGGAGTAGCCGGACAGCCACAGGTACGTGGTCGGAAACTCCTTCCATGCGTCCCCGGGGCCAGTGCCTAGCCCCTGTGGCTGCCTGCGGTGGCAGTGAGCTCACTGCCTCCTGCTGCAGCCGGCGCCTCTGCTCGGAGGTTCTGGTTGTCGGATGGCTTTCCCTTGGCTCCACCCGATAGTCCACCCACTGGAGCTTCCACTGCTCAGCCCACACTCTGCCTTCAGCCACATGGAGCATCTGTTCCCCGTGACACACTCAGGCTGCCTGCCACCACCGTGACTCTGTGCCCCCTCACAAGCCCTGTGTTCTCCAGGCTGAAGAGCTCTAGTTCCTGCAGCCATTGCTTGTAGAAGGTGGCAGCGAGTCCTTTGCTCGGTGTGAGCACATTCCCTAAACATATCCTAGTGTGTCAAGGTCGCTCTCACTGGGTGGCTCCCAAACGTCAGTTTAACCTCTCCGATATTTTGGGCGGAATTAGGGTGTTTGTTAGCCCCCTGCAAGCCTCTCAGGGGACTCTGCTAAGTTCCTGTGACTTTGTCCTGGAGCTTCCGACCTGGAGAGAGGAGGGCGTGGCCTGGTAATGCCACCAGGCCAGCCCACTTGCCCCCTGCTCGAGCCCTGGCTCACACCCCCCTTCTCTTGGCCTGGCCCACACCCCCTGCTCGCGCCCTGGCTCACACCCAGTCCCTGAGCAGAAGCTGGCTCTCCCTTTTCTTGCTTGGCTGTGCCTTTCCCGTGGTTACAGTACAGGACTTGGTGTCTTTAACAAGACCCACACCTATGTGACAGTTGTAATCATCCTAATAACTTAATTACTTGTTACTGAAGAGTTTACCCAAGGCTGGTAAATCCATTGTCCGATTTGGACCTCTTCTCCACCTGTAAGGTAGGAAGGCCAGGGCTGTTGCTCCAGGACCCAGCCATGCCAGGAGGCTGGAAGGGGTGACCTCGTGCCATCCTGCACCACTTGCTGTCTGGCAGACCTGGGTCCAGCAGGGAACCGTGCTGAGAAGCCGCCTTCTGAATCCTGTCCAAGGAGCCCCTCTCTGCTTCCGCTTACCCCTCACGCCAGAGCCTGCCTCGTCTGCCCTCTTGTGGACTTGGGGACTCCCCTGCTCTCCCCTGGGTTCTTGGGGTTCTGTGGGCAGGTCCCTCCGTTTTTCCAAAGCCCTTTAATACCACTTTGTCACACTTGACTCCTTGGAAAGGCCAGATGTTCTTACTGCCCTGCCCAGAGGACGGTCCCGTGGGAGGCAGGCCCGTGGTGGCGCCTGTGCCCGAGTCGCACGTGGGTGGAATGCCACCGCCGCCCTGAACGAGCTACATGCGCTCGCTGGCCTTGGTCTCCCCCTCTGCATAATGGAGACACTAAGCTGAGCCAGAGGGTTTGGGGATGATGTGACGCTGGATAGTGGGGTTAGTGCCTGGCCCGTGGTCAGCCGTCAGCACTAGCTGTTGCTTTTAGTGGCAGATTTGGTGCCAGCAGCCAGGCAGTCTGAGTCCTCTTTTCTCTGTGGAGCTTAAGAGTGTGCCCTGTGGGAGCCCGGCACCGCCTTTTCCTCCTTCCCCAGTAATGTTACGCACAGTGCCCACTCCGGGAGGGCCCCCCCAGCCTGCTCCCTGCACCCCTGTTCTGTGGCGTGCCTACAGCCCTTAGCCTGCAGTAGGCACTTGAGCCCCCCGAGTTCTGCCCTCAGTGCTCACGCCACAGCTTCAAGTCCACACAGCCACGGCTCAGTGACCAGAACTAGAAAACAACTGCCGGCCCTGGTAACTAAACTGCCGACTTTGCAGGTCTCACTGGTTTCCCGTTCGTGTTTTCCTGTGCCCAGATCCACTCCAGGTCCCACGTTTCGTCTCGCTGTCACTGCCCTCCAGTCTCCCCACTCTGTGTCAGGTCCCAGCGGCCCCTCGACTCTCATGAGCTTGGCACTTTGGGGTTCCCCGGCCAGGTGTTTGTAGAATGCCCCTCCATTTGTGTTCACTTGGATGTGTTCTCGAGATCGGGCTGTAGTAAGGGGCTTGGGCTGGAGCCCACGGGAGTGACCGTGAGCCCTTCCCAGTGTGCCGTGTCAAGGCTGTGAGAGGCGGTGTGTCTTGCCACTTCCAGCCTGGATCGCGGGGCTGAGGGGTGGCTGGCGGGTTTCTCTCTACAGAGTGGCATGTTTTCTCTTTGTGATGAGTACTTGTTCTCGAGGAGAGACTCCGAGGCTGTGCACCCGGCCCGCCTCTCCTCGCACGTTCGCTCACTGACTGCGGTGCGCAGCGGGGCTTCCCGCTGCAGTGATGGTGGTCCCTGTAGTGTTATGATGGCAGTTCTGTTTCCCTCCTGCCTTCTGCAGCCACCAGCTGGAATTCTTCCTCAAGGAAAGTGGTCCCTTCCCCCTGCTGAGTGATTCAGCTCGCTCTTTCTAGCAGTGTGGACTCAGGAACATTTATTGTGCTCCTTGGGTTATAATCCAGTACTGCTGAGGTTTGTTTTCTTGTTCTCCTTGTTCCAGCTTCACTGTAGGAAGCTCTTTCATGTTGTCTCCTGTGCCCATCTGACATGCCAGTGTTGTTGTTATTATTAAGCAGTTGCTTACTTGCTGGCACCATAAGATGCTCCAAACCCATTCCCTGCCCCAGCCCTGGAATTGGCCACTCGTCCACGCAGTTCTGTCCCTTTTTTGTCGGAGAACGGTGTTGAGCAGCCAGGCTCCGGGCCCTCGGTGTGCTCGTTGCCGCTGGAGGGTCACTGCCTTAGGCCCCCTCGGGGGTCAGGGCCAGGAAACGTGTGTACACACACTAACCACAAATATAGGCATCTTCATTTTTGTGTCTTTCTAAAAGCATTTTTAAATAATCATTTTATGAGACATTTAAAAACATCACTCTTGCCTCCCAGGCCAGAGGATTGTTGGCTGATGGAGGGTGGGGGGAGGAGGCACTACTCGGAGAGGCTGCTGGGAGGCAGGGGGGAGGTGGGCAGGGAGGAGGACCTGGGAGCCACTGTGGGTCCGGGAGGGTGGATAATGTTCTCTTCCCCAAGGGGACTGAGTCCTGGCGGGTTGTGTAGCAGTGTCCTGGTGGGTGGGAGGGTAGAACGGTGGCAGACGAGGTCAGGGGCCCTGGAGGAGCTCCGAGTGGCGAGAGAAGAGTTATTTGAGGCTTTGTTAAAGGCCCCTCTCTGTTTCTCCCCAGGCTGGTGTGGCAGCAGGCAAGATCCCAGAGGTGGGAGCCTTGGGTGCAGCTGAGAAGAAGGTGAAGATGCTGGAGCAGCAGCGCACAGAGGTAGGTGGCCTCCTGGGACCCACAGGACAAAGGCCCTCCCTTGGCTCTGCCATGGTGACCACTGAACCGTCTGCTCATGGGAGAGACTGGCTGTCTTATCCTGGACTCTTGTCTCTTGGATCAGCCCCCTTGCCCACAAGGGTCACTGTGAAGAGGTGGCATTTGTGGCACAGCCCAGAATTGTTGACAGGGGAGGGACGGTGTAGGAAGGCTGAACCCGGATGGTAAGAAGAGGCTGTGATAAGGTAGGTGAGTGTCAGCCTCAGCAGTGGGGAGCCTGGAGTTCATCTGTCACCACACGGCTGGTTTAGGCAGGGACTGTCACAGCAGGAGAGATCCCATGCCTTCTTGTGACACTGCTTCCAACCAGCCGAGAGTCATTCCCTTGAGGCGTTCCCTTGCGTCTCATGTGCGCTCCTCCGTCTCCCACCCCTGGGCCGTGCTTCCAGGCGGAGCCCAGTCCTCCCTGTCCTCTTAGCCTCCTCTCCATGGAGCTCGGGTTCCTCCCCAGGTCCCTGGGCCTTCCTGCCTCCCGGTCCGGTCCGCCAGCGGCATTTGGAAGTCAGGCTCCCTTAGTCCTTCGCTTAGCGCACGTTAATTTCAGTTTTGTGTTTGTGTTGCTGTAAGGTATTTTTTTCCAGTTACAGAAGTAATATAGTGTTCATTATAAAAGGATTTGAGAATCTCATCTCCTAAAGATGACTGCAGTTAATAACAATTCGTTATGTGTTCCTTGTTTTCTTCTATGTACTTACTGATGTATAATTTTTGTTAAGGTAGAAAAAGGTTATACATATCACATTGCAATTTTTTCCCCTTTTTTCTTGAAAAGAAACCATCTTTGAGGGTCTATGTAAGTATATACATATATAAATATACCTTCAACTCGGAGCACTTTTTATTCTGTGTTTCTGAACTTGGGATGCCCTTCCCCACTATTTTGTTTATTTATGACGCTCTTTGTCCCTGAGGAATTGCTACATGGAGAGTGTGGCAGATGAGCAGTGTCCTCATCTCAGACCTGAGCAGCTCACGGTGCTCCGCTTTCTGATCACACTGTAGTTCCCCTGCTTCGGCTGGCCTCTAGGTTTCTCCGTGATGCAAACACTGTCGAGATGATCAGTGCTGTCCATATGTTTTTATGTGCAAGTGCTTCCTTTGGTTACTTTTCTTATGGTGGAATTACTGGGTTAGAGAGAGTAGGAATTTAGAGTTTTCACACACAGTCCCAGACCGCCCTCTACGTGGGTGTGTGTTACCTGACTGCACATGGCACTGTTTTCATGCCTTGGTGTTCGTCTCGCTGTCCTGGCGAGGACGGAGATGGCGGTTGGTAAAGGGGGATCTCTCTGGGCAGCGCTGAGAAGCGAGGGACTGAGGCAGCGTGTGGCCAGCGTTCGCACGCACTGCGCGTTGCTCGGGACGCTGGTGTGCGTGGAGCAGCCCTCCGTGGTCCTGCTCTGCTTAGCCCCTTCTAACCCCCGTGTCTCCCCGCAGCTGCTGGAAGTGAACAAGCAATGGGACCAGCACTTCCGGTCCATGAAGCAGCAGTACGAGCAGAAGGTAGCGTGGGAGTTGTGGGAAGCCAAGGCTGCACCGGGTTCTCGGCTGAGGTCGGCGCATCCCCCCCTGTCCCGCCTGCTGTTGTCTTCTCAGCAGCTTTGAACCTCGGACAGTCGCCCTCACGCACCCCACCCTCTGCCTCTGAACCCAGATCACTGAGCTGCGCCAGAAGCTGGCGGACCTGCAGAAGCAGGTGACTGACCTGGAAGCTGAGCGGGAGCAGAAGCAGCGTGACTTTGACCGCAAGCTCCTCCTGGCCAAGTCCAAGATTGAAGTGGAGGAGGCAAGTGTGACTTCTGGGCCCCAGGTTCAGCTCCAGGAGGCCCACTCCTCCGTTCTCATTAACCAAAGTCAGGGGGGTAGACAAGGAGCAGCAAGGGTCAGGAGATGGGGTTCCAGCTCTGGCTCTGGTGCTACAGGGCTGTGTGGCGATAGGCAAAAGCACTTTCCTTCCCCAGGCCCTAGTTTCCCTTCTAAAAACGGAGAAGGTTGGGTTAGCTGTTGCTTTTGTATTTTCCTATTTTCTTTCAGAAGAACTTTTTGTTCAGTTACAGTCTTATGGGCTCAGAAAGCACAGAATATAAAAGAGAGAGCACCGGGGTGGGAGTGGGGTGCTGTTGATTGTTTCCAGCTGTGCTGGCTCTTGGAGGGGGAGGGGCTCGCTCCTGAGACGAAGCTTCCCGATTGGTTCGTCCACTCATTGTTCTACGGAGCACGCCCTTGGCTCTGGGCTGGGCGCAGGGACTCAGCTGCAGCATTCCAGTCCCACCTTTGAGGGGGAGGAGACGCCCAACAATGGGTCACGGCAGCAAACAAGCGGAAGTGCATCAAGTATTAAGGACTGCACAGAGGTTGTTACAGGGGTCAGGGAGAGGGCAGAAAGAGGTACCAGATTTGTTCTGGGGGGCCAGGAATGCGTGGCCTGGGGCAGCGGCATGTGACTGAAACCAGCAGGGGCCCTGCAGGGTCCTGTTACAGCTTAAGGAGGAGAGGCCATTTGACCCCCAGACTCGGGGAGATTTTATGTCACAGTGTCTTTCCTTTCATGGGAACTGGGCCCAGGCTGCTGTTGTTTAGCTTAAAAATGGACATTTTCAACACAGATTGTGTTTCAGAGTTCCCTCTCATCGGCATGTGACACCCAGGGGCCAGATCTGGGCTGTCAGCCTGCCCCAGGGACTGCCCCTCCCCTCCCCTTGAAGATGAGGATTAGGGAGGACACTGCCTATCTTATCTCTTGAGTGCTGTGGTGTCCTGGTCCTGTGACTGTCAGCCCAACCCCTGGCATGCATCAGTAGGTGGATCTGACAGTACCCCCTGTCAGCTGAGGGGACGCGCCGCTGGCCCGTAGAGAAAGACAAGCCACGCTGACCCTGGAGGCTCCCTAGCGGGAGTCTAGGCAGCTCCCACAGGTTCCGACTGAGGCTGCCCTCCCCTGTTTTAAACACTTCCTCTGACTTGCAGGGTGAGAGAGCGCACCAGAATCAGGAGACTCCAGCCCCAGCTCACTGGGTAGCCTGGGATAAGTCACCTCCCCCTCCCTGTAGTCATTTCCCTTCACTGAAGGGGGCTAGGACTCGATGCTCTCAACCAGCCAAGCCCACTGTGGCCCGCTGCAGGGAAGAAGCCCTGATTGTTCCATAGCGAGTGTGGGGGCAGTGCTTCCACCTTGAAGCTTTCCCTGATTTCAGCTCGAATGCAGTGTTGTCTCTTCTGACTGCACTGTACTGTTTCCCTGTGGAGGACACTTCCTGCCCTATGCCACCGTTAGGCCTTTGAGTGTCTTCTCCGGGTTCAGAGACTAAGAGCAGGAAGGTCCTTTAGAGTCTCAGTGGTTCTCATGTTCTGTGTGTCACAGAAGATGCCTGTGCAGATCTGGCAGAAACTACAATGTTTCTCCCTAGAAAATTGCACAGAGGAAATTTGACATTGAGTTTTGGGGCTCTCAGACCTCCTGAAGCCCACGTGGGACTCGTGTTCAGAAGCCCTTGCCTATGGCAGACAGATAAGATTAGACCAGGGAGGGCTGTGACAGCACCCCAGGTGTCAGATGGCGGGTGGAGGAGCCCGAGTCAGAACCCAGGGCTTCACTCACCAAAATGGGCCTCGCTGCTCTGACGCCAGGTGTCTTGCACTGTGCGTTGTGTGTGAACATGGTGAGGGCTGCTGAGTGAGAGCAGGAGAGTGGGTGTGCCTGGGTGAGCATGGGGCAGGCAGTGCCAGGGGTCTGGCCTCCAGGGGAGGCTCCTGCTCACCAGCCCTGTGCTCCCTGCAGACTGACAAGGAGCGGCTGTCCACAGAGGCCAGGGAGCTGCGCCAGATGGTCCGGCACCTGCAGGATCAGCTGAGCCCTCTGACCCGGCAGCGGGACTACCAGGAAAAGGAGATCCAGCGGCTCAACAAGGTGGGCACCTCAGCCCTGGTTCCTTGGGCAGGCAGAGCTTCCTTGAGCCCGGCCGCCACACCCCCCATCACCAGTGCCCCCGACCCTCCAACCCTCTGACCCTCCGCAGAGCAGGGGCAAGTCTGGGTCAGGGCGCTGGCGCTGAGGGCCTCGGTGCTGCCCCGAGATTCTCCCTCCTCCGCCCTTCCCTCCCCTCACACTGGTGACCAGCCTGGGCGAACCTGTGCCCGCTGCTCCCCCCCTCTGTCCTTGGACGTGCTATTTCCTCACACGGTGCCACCCTGCCCAGGTCAGCGAGACCTTCCCAGAACCTCATTCGGGTCACCATGTTCTGTGCCTCTAGAGTACAGGCAGCATCTTTCACACCTCTTCTCGCAGTGTCTTGCAATTACTTATTTCACGTTCTGTCTTCTCGTGCAGTGGTGGGAGGGGTGCGTCTTCTCTAGGGCATGTCCCCACGGCGCCTGGCGCAGTGCCTGGCACCAAGCACATGTTCAGGAAATACTCGCCGACGGGGGCGGATGAGCACAGGGGCGCCCAGGGTGGGCTGGGTGAAGCAGAAACCCTATCTTCCGGGCCAAGGCGCATGGCAGCGGGCCGGGCCAGGCCTGTACCCTCTCTGGGCCTCCGTGTTGCCCTCTGAACCCTGGTTGGCCTCGTCCCAGCCCCGCTCTCCTTGCAGTGCAGGGGTCAGTGGAACACAGTGAGGGAGGGCCCTTTGAAAGGAAGTGTCCTCCGGAGGCGCGGAGGGCTTGTCCTATCCATCTGTGGGCCAGCTTCCCCCTCCCGTTTGGTTTTGGCATTTGAAAAGCATTGATTATGCTGAGTCTGAGGTCCCTGGGACTTGATCTCAGAGAAAAGAGTGATTTGTCCCGAGCTGGGGGACTTAGGGCCTAAATCCAGGCAGAATGTGGGACCACGGTGCTGGTGGCAGAGACGGCGCAGGCAGGACCACTGCCCTCTGGGTTTCTGTGGCATGGCTGGGGCGGAGGCACGGTGGGGTGGGGGGGCGGGTTACCGGTGCGAGGCTCTCCCAAGCCCGCACCTCCGTCTCCTCACGGAGGAGAAGGGTCAGGCGCAGCGGGAGTGCAAGGGAGCCACGGCTTCCCCTTGCAGCGTCCTGAACGGACTTCTCGGCTCAGATGCTTCCCCGTGTTTCTGGGGGAGTCAAGGGGACCGCGTGGGGACTGAGGTCCAAGCTGAGCAAGGTGTTCCTCATCTGTTCCATCCGGGGAGGTGCCGTGGGCTGTGCTGACACATGACGGGCAGAGGCCCTGCTGTCCGGGGGCTGAAGTTCAGTGGTGATGCGCATGGCCAGTCCTGATGGGTGTTCCAGAGTCCTTGAGTAACACACTAACGGGGTTAGAGGAGAAAACCAGTGACTAGAAACCTTTTAATGTTTGAGCAAGTTGAAATGAAAGTCTAGTCTAATCTAACTGCAGAAATGCTGAGGATGGAAGGGTTGGCTTGATGGGAATGGGCTGTAGAAGCTAAAGTTCTCAGGGCAGGGCAGTGGTCAAGGAGACTGCAGATTCTCCCAAAGGACTTCATATTCCTTCTAGGTCTGGGTTCTGGGCTTGGGCCACACCTGCTCAGAGAAAGGGAAATTCTCCCTTCTGCATGAAGACTCTAGTGTAGGCTGCCGGTTAACAGCACATGCTGGATTTGAATCCCCACTTTACTGCTTATTAGCTATGACTTGTAACAAATCATTTCAGGTCTCTGAACCTCAGTTTGCGCATCTGTAAAATGGGGATGATGGTCTTAGGACTGCGGAGAGGGTTCAGTGAAAGGTCATAAACGTGTATAGTGTCGTGAAGCGTGTCCATAAACAGGGTAGCGTTTATAAGATGGTGCTGGTGGTGGTGGTGATCATCGTCAGGAAGTGGGTCCTTGAGGAAGAGCCCACCATTGGGGCCCGACTTTCAGGACTTCTGCTGATAGGCCCGTCCCCTGTCTTCCTGATCTCAGGCCCTGGAGGAAGCACTGAGCATCCAGGCCTCCCCATCCTCTCCACCAGCAGCCTTTGGGAGCCCCGAGGGAGCTGGGGGCCTCCTCAGAAAACAGGAGCTGGTCACGCAGAACGAATTGCTGAAACAGCAGGTGAGCCTGAGGGGAGGGGCCAGGTGGGAGGTGGAACATTCCTGCGCACCCAGGAGGGGCTTGGAGTCCCGTGGGGGCCATGCTTAGTAGCCCACCTTCTAGTCACTGCCAGGACCCGGTCCGGTGGTAGGCTCGCCTTTCCAGCAGTGTGCCCCTCACTGGTCATTCCTCTGCCCCCTCTAGGATTTAGCCATCTCTATACCCGAGCTGTGCCATTGTTCACCTAGTATTTTAAGAATAAATTTTAGTCCTGGCTAGTGTGGCTCAGTGCATTGAGTACCAGCCTGTGAACCAAAGGGTCACCAGTTTGATTTCCAGTCAGGGCACATGCCTGGGTTGCAGGCCAGGTCCCCAGTTTGGTCTGCACAAGAGGCAACCACACACTGATGTTTCTCTCCCTCTCCTTCTCTCTCTAAAAATAAATAAATAAAATTTTTTAAGAAAATTAATTTTAAATAAATTACTTTCAATAAATGCAATTAAAAGGTAGCCTTATATCACTACTATAAATAGAAAAACCTGTTTATTATTTGCATAAATAGAAAGTCACCATAAACAAGAAATACAGTAAAAGCCAAACAGTGCTATTGAACTCTAGCTGGCTACTCTTGTCTGATGTAGACTCTGAACTTGAGTCCTCTTTCCCGTCATTTAAGGGAAATTAACACATATTAGCAAGGCATTAAAGACCTACTAGCATAAAATGGAGACTTTCTCCTTGAGGGAGGACACAGGAGATTTGAAAGGTGATTGAAAAGGCTGTAGTTGTCCCATGTGTGTCTCCATGTGGTGCCATGCTGTGGACGCTTCCAAGTCATCTGGACCCAGTGAGGATTTGAATCTGCAGGTGCAGAGGCAGAGCCTCGTGCCAGCCCCTTCCCTGCCAGGAACCCCCGGGAGTCCTGGGAGAGTTTTGTAGGCCTGCTCTCGGAGGGTCTTCCATCCACACTCGGGTCCCATGGCCTCCACCTCTGGGGCTGAAGCCGAGTGAAAGGATCGGCCTGGCTAGTGGCCGTATATCCCCTTGTTTAAGCGAAGCCCTGTGTGGACGCCCAGGCTATAAAACCGAGGGTTCCGGAAGTGCTCTGTTTGAAGTTGGGGGTAGGGCTGTCGAGATGGGGTGACAACAGGCTGGAGTTCTGGGCCTCAGCGGGTCTGAGGCTCCACTCAGAGCTGCCCCTCCTCCCTTGCCTCCCCTCTCCTCGCCCCTCCCTGCTCCCCAGGTGAAGATCTTTGAGGAGGACTTCCAGAGGGAGCGCAGCGATCGGGAGCGCATGAATGAGGAGAAGGAGGAGCTGAAGAAGCAGGTGGAGAAACTGCAGGCCCAGGTCACCCAGTCAAACGCCCAGGTGAGAAGAGGTGGCCCAAGGAGGGGCCGTCGGCCTGTCCTCGTGGTGGGGGGGGGCACGGATTGAAAGGTCCCTGGTGAGACTGGATGTCACATCATTCGCTGCTTCTCCTGCCGGCTCTGCTCCTGTGTTTCTGTGAGCCTCAGCAGGACAGCCCACCCCCACTCTAGCCTCTGGCTCTGACTTTCCTCAGCCACGCTTGATGCCTTTAAAGAGCAAATTCAGGGGTTGGCCCCCAGCTCCCCACTGTCTCCCAGCATGCAGCTGAAAAGTGTTACTGTGGGAGCACAGGAGCAGTGAGCTCACGGGAACCTTCTGACCTCCCACGGTGAACAGGCCTTCCTGCAGCCACCGGCCTGGGCCGTGCTGTGCCCCTCAGGGCCCTTCCCCGGGGCTGGGCCAGGGAGGACAGCCCAGGCCGCTGGCCCTGTGCATCTGCTCGTCAGCCCTGGGGCTGCTGGAGAAGCCCCGGAGCTGACCGTCGTCTCTCCCTCCTGTCTTCCCTTAGCTGAAAGCATTCAAAGATGAAGAGAAGGCAAAAGAAGCCCTTAAACAGCAGAAGAGGAAGGCAAAGGTGAGGGGCTTGAGGGAGGCAGCAGCACGCACTTTGCCTGACCTCCTTCAGGGAGCCGTAGTCTGATGGGAGAGGCAGTGCCTGTTCAGGTGCCCAGCTGACTAATGAGGCCGTGCCGGTAGAGCCCTCAGAAGAGTACTTGGGGCGGAGTAAGTACTCAGGTCCCATTAGCTGTCATCGTTGTTGGTATTCCATGCCCATGTGCTAGCCTTCCCTGCCCGTGTACTGGCCAGTGCTCAATGCCTATGTAGCAGCCTCCATGCTCATGTGCCAGCCATCTGTGCCCATGTGCCAGCCATCTGTGCCCAGGGGCCAGCCTTCCCTGCCCGTGTACCGGCCAGTGCTCGATGCCTATGTAGCAGCCCCCATGCCCAGGGGCCAGCCTTCAGAGAACTAAAATTGTAGAGGATAGGAGATGAGATGGGTGTCACTGGGGATGGCCTGTGACAGGCTGCACAGGCTAGAGCCAGACCCCAGCCTTTCTCGTAGGCCTCGGCGGAACGCTACCACGTGGAGCCCCACCCGGAGCACCTCTGCGCCGCCTACCCCTATGCCTACCCGCCCATGCCAGCCATGGTGCCACACCCCGGCTTCGAGGACCGGTCCCAGATCCGATACCTCCCGCCCCCCATGCCCATGGAGCACCCGCCCCCACTCCCCAACTCGCGCCTCTTCCATCTGGTGAGTCCGTGTTCCTCCTTCGCTCTAGGACGCACACAGGCCACCCCAGACACTTCCCAGAGGGCAAGGCCAGGTGAGGGTGTCAGAAGCTCCAGCTCCCTCCTGCCCGCACTCAGGTGCCGGGGCCCGGCTCTGGCCTGCTCTCCCGGGGCGGGGCTGGGGGGCGCTGCCCAGTCCAGAGCTGCTCAGGGTCACTGATGTAGGACACAAAAGGCTGAGAAAGAGCATGGAGGGCTCCCTCCAGCCAGCCAGGCCAGGCGTATCAGAGTTTGGGTTGGACTTTTTCTTATAATTTCCCCATGTGGTCAGGTAGCACCGATCCTCACCAGCATTCTCTCCCTTTCCTTTTCTCTTCCTTCTCTTTCCCTTTTGCAGTTTCCTTTCCTCTTTTCTTCTCTCTCTCCCTTTTTCACTTTGTTTTCTTTTCCTTGCTTATCAGTCTTTCTCCAAACAGCTGCTGTCACCAGTCCCATCTGTCCAGTCCCTCTGCCACGCTGTCTCAGGCACCCCCGCTTTCACCGGGACAGGGACAGCAGCCTGCTCTCCCGCCTCTTCCAGCTTCTCTCCCTGTGACGATTCTTTACACGCAGCTTTAAACGCTGGCATGTGGGGTGGGGCTTAAGAGACCAGGGTCATAGAGACCTGGATTCAAATAGAAATTTGGCCCCTTTCCTAGATGGACGACCTTTAAAAACTTACATAACCCCCCAGAGGCTTAGTTTCCTTACCAGTAAAATGGCGGTGACGGCCTGGGTTGTTATAAGGGTGCGATTGCCGTCGGCCCTCCCTGTCCACTGGGTCCACGTCCGTGGATTCCATGAACCGTGGGTTGAAAACATTCAGGGAGGTAGAAGGGAGTGTTGGGGGATGAATGGTGACGGAAGGAGACTTGACTTGGGCTGGTGAACACACAGTACAATATACAGGTGGTGTATCGTAGAATTGTATACCTGAAACCTATATAATTTTATTAACATCACCGCAGTAGATTCAATAAAAAGAAAATATTTGGAAAATGTCACTGTCGCTCACAGGTCCTGCGTAATTAGGTCTGCGGTGGTCGTGTCTCTACTGAACACGCACAGACTTTTTTTTTTCTTGTCGTTATTCCCTAAAGAAGACAGTATAACAACTATTTACCTGACATTTATGGTGTATTATATAAGTAATCCAGAGACGATTTAAAGTGTATGGGAGGACATGCGTAGGTTATAGGCAAATGCTACAACATTTCATTGAAGGGACTCGAACATGTGCGGGTTTTGTTATTCTCAGGTGGGGGATACCAATCTCTCGAGGATACATAGGGGCAACTGTATACTTGACTAATATGTAGTTAGTGCTTTTTTGGTATGACAGCTGCTGCTGTAATTTTCAAGTGTGGTTATTGATCACTAAGCACCAGTCTTGTTGCAGCCAGAATACACCTGGAGGCCACACTACGGAGGGATGCGCAATCAGACCTCCCAAGTGACGGACTCGCCTGCGGCTCGGCCCGCAGAACCAGGTAAGCGTGGTCCCCCGGTGCAGAGGACTCCTGGAAGGGTCTCAGCTGTGTAGAAACGGAGTGGGCTCTGCCGGGGGGCAGTGTGCCCCTTAGAAGGTGTGCAAGTGGAGACTGCGGGCAACTTGGGGGGAGTATGGTTGGAGGAGTTAGTGGCTGGGAGGAGGGGTTGGGTGGCTCCATCATTTTCTCATGTTCCCGAGTCCTGGGGCTCTGTGGGCCCCTCGGAGGCCGCTCTGATGAGGGGCAGAGGGTAGCCAGATGGGCAGGTCTGTCCCCTCCCCCAGAATATGCCCACTTCTGGGATCTGGAGCCAGACTGACTAGGCTCCAGTACTTTGTAGATCTGGGACTGTGGGCAGGTTTTTTCAAACCGCTGTGTGCCCAGCTCCGTCCTCCATTGAAGGACAGCAGTCTGCCTCCTTCACAGGGCGGAGCCGGATGGGTGGAATGATGAACGTACCTAATGCACTTAGCCCAGAGCCTGGCGCTGGGTACAAACACACAATAACTCCAGCTGTCATTTTCCCTGTTACTGCACTGGTTTCCACAGGACTTTGAAACCTACTCTACTACCTCATCTTTAAGTCCTCCAAATTTTTGTTTATTTAGACTCCACAAAAAATGACCACAAGGGGCCTCAATGAGACCAGAGTACATCACTTGGCTCCACCTTCGTCTTGCAGAGCCAGCAGACTTTGGATTACCAAAAACCTAGAAGTCCCGTGCTCTGTGTGGCCGGAGTGTCAGCCGACAAGAAGCTGAGATGGGCCACCAGCTTGCGCCCCAGGCTCCAACCCGAACTGTTCGCAGACTGGGGAGGGTCTGCCCAGAAGGCTTCCATCCGGGCCCTGCCTTCGGCGTGACTGGAAAAAACTCGCTATCCTGCCCCCAAGTGGAGAAAGAACCTGCCGTCCTTGGTGGGATCTGCCAGGAGACGTCAATCTCAAGAGCGGGATGCAGCTGAGACCCCTTTTTCCCCAAAACGGCCCCAGAAGTGGGCCAGCCCCTGTGGGAACCACATTCAGTACTTGTGTGTCTGACTTTCGCTTCAAGCCCTGTAGTCGCAGACCTAGACCACACCCACCCCTTCCCCTCTGCAAGGACCCGCGGGAAGAGTAGGTTTGCCTCTGGGAACAGAAGATCACGACTGGATATTCCACTGCAGGGCCTTCCACCCCCGCCCGGGGCAGCCCTGTTTGTGCCACCGTGGCCTGGGATGAAGGCCACGCCGGCCACACCAGCCAGGTGGCCCCGGCCTGGAGCCGCCAGGCCCTCTGCCCCACCACGGGAGGTTTGTGGTGCTGGAGGCCCGGATCGGGGTGGCCGTCCTTCCCTGGGCAGCTCTTTGCACGAAAGATATAAATCAAGTGGAAGACTCCGTGACTGGTGTTTTTATGTCCCCGCCAGCGTTCCCCTCCCAGTGAACCCCTGTCCTCTGTGCCACTCCTCCGTCTCCCAGGAGCATCACCATCAGTCTCAGCTGACATCCCCTGGGAGAGGGGGGCCGGGAGTGAGGTGCCCGGGGTCTAAAGTCTAGCCCTGCGCCTCACGCACCAGAAGACCTCGTGTAAGGCCTGGGCCTTCTGTGCGCCTGTTTCCTCACCTGCAGACGGGACACCTCATCTCAGCCCTAGCCGCCTTGGAGAATCGTGGGAGGGAACGAGAACAGGTGTTTCACAAACTGCCAGTGCTGAGTGAGACAAGCAGAGCGGGCCTAGGTAGAGACCAAAACCAGGGCCAAAGCACTCCCTTCGTGTCTCCCCTCCCTCCTCCCCCCAGCCTTTCGAGGAAGCACCACAGTAGGCTCAGCTGCTGCAGAAAGGCCTTTACTGGACACACAGGGGCGAGTCTCATGCCGTGGGTCAGGGGGGAGGGGGAGGGCACGTTGTCCGAAGTGGCAGGGGTGGCATCCCTGCCCGTGGGCTTCAGCCTGAATGCACTAAGGGCTGGCCCTGCGGACAGGCTCAGGGGAGGTCCGCCCACAAGGGCTTCGGGCCCCTCCTTCATGGAGACACCACTCCTGACGCGGGAATGTGCCTCGCCCTCACGCCTGCCGTGGCTGCTCAGGGAGCGCGGTGGGGTGGGGTGGGGGGCTTGGGAGGGCCCTTCAGGAAGGAGGGAGGCTGGGCAGTGTGGTAGACCCAGAAACCTCGGGCACTTCAGTGGTGGTATTTAGAGGCCGTGGGAGATGCTGGCCCTGAAGCTGAGGTCCAGGCAGAGCGAAATAATTGGGTCTGGAGCTGTTTTTTTCTTTGGGCTCAGCTGAAAGTGTGCTATCCCTGGAGAGAGGAGTGTCACTCTCTAGCACTCTCCACAGCACACAGCTGGGGGCACACATGGTCACACACCTGTAGGCACGTGGGCAAACACCCACCTGCACAGCAGTACAGACACATTGTACGCACGCTTCTGTCAGGCTGGGGCCCTGTATGATAGGAAGGGGTCTAGGCTGGGAGTGTGGTGTGGATGGAGGAGCAGACTCCTTCCCGACCAGAGGCCCTCCCCGGCCCCGCAGGGTGGGTGTGGGGCGGGGCAGGCCTGTTACTTCCCCCTCAGCGCCAGGGCTGCGTGCCGCTTCATGTAGGCCAGGATGTCCATCTTGACGTTGCTGACCGTGGTCCGGTGGTACCAGCGCATGATGGGTTTACCGTCCGGCCCCACCAGGAACTTCTCGAAGTTCCAGCGGATGTCATGGGACTTCATGGGCTCCCAGAAGAGGCGTTTAGGGTCTCCCAGCAGCTCCGCGGTGGGAGGACAGGAATTCTGGAACAGGGACGAGGAATGTTAGCCCTGCTCCGGGCCCCTCCCACCTACCTCCCCAGGGCAGGGGAACAGCTAGCGGGGAGAAAACGGCACCGGTTTGGGAGGTCGAACGCTGGATCCCAGGACCGTCCTGGCTTTAGCGGATTGTGAGACCTTTAATTTGTCCCCTTGGGAGCCCTGACTGGGTCTTGTAAAATGCGCTGGTGAGATCCTAAGGTTTATAAAGCCCTGTAGCTGGAGTGACAGGTGCCAAGAAATTCCCGAGAGCCCGAGACTGGGGCAGGGTGGCAGGGGCCCAGTCCTTGAGTGACTGGAGCCCAGAGGGGCGTCGGCCCTGTCCAGAGCCACTCCTGCAGAGGGGGCTGCTGCGCACTCACCTTCAGGAACGTGTAGACCTTTTGCTCTTTCTCCCCGTTCACATCTCCTTTCTCAAAGAGTTGGAAGTTGGGGACGTAGCCCCCACCTGGTCGGACATGCCTACGAGGAATGTTCTCAGGTGGGTCCCAAGGAGGTGGAAGGGCACAGGGCTCAGAAATGAGAGGAAGGGACAGAACAGGGCAGGGGGTGTTCTGGGAATCTGGGTTGGATTCCATAGGGGGCAGGGGGAGCCCATGAATATGAACGGGTACAGGCACAGTGTGGGTCTGCAGCCTTTCCAGCTGGGTGCCTTCTCAGTGACCCTCCCCCCATCGTGCATTCACAACCAGCCAGCCCTGTCCCTCTCCTGTCCCCTTTTCCCCTCATTACTAAACGGGGTTCCTGGGAAGGCAGAGGAGTTCTTGGGGGCTGGTGCAAGACATGCCTGGGCTGGGACACGGGGTTGGCTGTGCTGGCGGAGCTTTCTGTGGACACTGAGTAAGCACTCACTTGAGGGAAGGTAGGATCTCCGAGTTCTCTCCCGGCTCCTGTAGTCCAAATTGGTTGGAGGGGAAGCCCAGAATGACTAGACCAAATGGGGCGAGCTCTTCCTGTAGTGCATTCAGTTCTGGGACGGGGAGAGAGAACGGAGACCGGATAGCCCAGCAAGGAGCCCTGCCTCCTCGTACCACCACCTGCTCGCCCCTCGTACAAGTGAAATCACTGAGGCCTGACGGGGGAGTGGCCCAAGATCACTCTGTGAATGTGTCACTGCTGAGGCTCAAGTCCCCTCCTCCTGACTAAGCTGGATGAGTTGGAGGTTTGAGGGGGAAAGAAGGCAATGTAGTGAGTCACCTGCCCACGGCCAAAGTCCACCACCTGGGCCAGGCTCCTCCAGGATGCTCACAGTCGGGTTTCCTGGAGCAAAAACTATCCATCCCCGAGAAGGCAGAGGACTTCCCTGGGGTAGGGTAGGGCGCTCACGACCCTCCTGTACTCTGGCAATCCAGGGATCCGAGGGAGGCCCTGGCCCGGCTCCCTCAGTGGCCCCCTGGCCGCCTACCCAAGGCCAGTACCCAGCCCATCTCCTCCCCAAACGCATCATCTGTTCCAGGGGCCTGGCAGAAGCATTCTGGGCAGAGCACCCGACCGCTGGGCCCTCCAGCCCGCTGTCACTCCACGTGCAGGGACTTGCCCGTCACTGCCTGGCAGGACACTCAGACTGCCTGCGTCTCCTTCCAGCCCTCGCAGCCGGCTGTGCACAACCCAGGGGTGTTTTCCTTCATGACCTCTCTGTGCTCTGCCCCCGCTAAAAAGAAAGGGGTGGGGACACTAGAGATCACAAACCCAGGTGGAGCAGCCTTGAGCCCCTCGCCTGCTTTCCAGACGGGCCAAGAGCAATGCCAAGGGCGATGGCGCTGAGGGCAGGTGAGGAACTCCCAGCAAGGCAAAGCTACCAATTCTTACCCCAGGGAAAGGACGCTTTAGGCGCAAACCCAATCTCCTCCCTCCCTCTGCTTTTAGGGCAGGTGAGGTGACCAGGGATGAAGCAGGATAACAGGGAACCTTCTAGAACATGTCCGAGGCAATCAGATCTCAGGCTTAGGTCACCATCTTCACAAAGCCATGGAACACAGACTTGGGACCCATGGAGGATCATGGAACCTCATGATCACTGGGGCCCCTCCCCCCTTGCACCAGAGAAGCACCTGTGATTGGAATATTCCCAGCCGGCAGAAACAGCCCCAGATAAGGCAGGGGAGGTGGGGTGGCCTCTTACCAATGTACTGGCTCGTCAGGCCTCAGTAGCTGGCCACGTTGACGAAGAGGATGTATTTGCCAGTGTACTGCTTGAAGGGGATGTACTCCTCCCCGTTGAGGGTGAGGGCTCCATACTCATAGATGGTACCGCTCACCTTAGGGTAGCAGTCCGTCTGCAACAGAAGACCAGCGCCAGGCAGCGGTCAGAGCTGCAAGGGAACTGGGGTATCTCCATGTTGAAGACCAGGAAAGGTACCAAGACCACTCCAAGCTTCGGAACTAGGCTAGAACCGAGGTCTCCTAATTCCTTGTGCCAGGGAACGATTATGGAAGAACTTCACGTGCTGGTGAGCGCTATGGAAACCTAGAGAATTACTTAATGCAGCCAGCACCTCACAGCACGTGCCCATTTATAAATATTTGCCAGGCCCTGACGAGTCGCCCCTGACACGGGTAGTTGTGTTGCTGGATGGGCTGATGGAGACTGGTTGGCTGGCTGTTGCAATAGTCCGGGCAAGTGGTGAGGAGGGCCTGAACTAGGCCATTGTGAAGGGAGACCTGAGCGGAAAGAAAGAAGAGGCGGTATGGAAAGGGGTGATTCAGAGATTCCAAACCTGGAGGCCCAGAAAGCTGAGGCTGCTGTTACAGGGATGTAGCAGCAGGAGCCAGGAACGGGGACAGGCCTGCCATGAGGGTGAAGGGCGAAGAACAGCGGCTCACATCTATTAGACGTCCCTGTCAGTGAGCGGTTGTGACGACGGCCCTTGTGCCTTCCTCTCTGCCCGGCCACCGCTCCAGGACAAGTAGGGACAGAGCACCGTGCTGCGAGTCGGTGGGCCTGGATCCCGTGTCCAGCTCTGCCCCTAACTCCCTGTGTGGCCCTTTCTCTTCTCTGAGCCTCAGTGTCCTCTTGTATAAAACAAGCCTTGGACTAGACCAGCTATTCTCAACCACGACGGCCTGACAGCATCCTACCAGTGGGATGACCGAGGGCAAGCAGGAGATCACATTTGACTCTGCTGCTCCCTCATGTCTGGCCCAGGTTACAAAAGATCTGCATCTGCTCTTGAAAGGATGTCAGGACATTAATACCAATCAGCAGGTGGGCTGGTCGTGACGGGGAAGAAAAGGGCTCGCCACTATTCTCTGAGGTGCTTTCTGGCCCTGACTACCTGTGAAAGGGGGGAAGACAAACTAACCGAGAGAGGCAGAGCCAGGTGATTAGAGAGTTTCAGGAGCAAATCCACGCCCTCTCTTCCCATCAGTCCTGGAAGACTTGCTCCAGGAGGGTGAAGAAAAGCCACCTCTGCCTTGAAGACGCCACAGGCTGCTGAGCCAGCTGAGGCTGGGCCCCTCCATCCCCTGAGAACCGCCAGCTCTCTCAGCTTTGGTGCCAATCCCCTGCCTTACGTGAGCCTAGTGTTCCCACTCCTTGACTTGGTGGGCGCTATACCTGAGCCCAACGTCCCTGCAGCCCCTGGGCCTCCTAGGCCCCGCCCAGCTGGGATCAGGTCCCCTGCAAAATACAAACAACAGAGGGCACAACAAACACGCCCCAGCTGGCCACCGAGGTCCAGCAGCCGGAAGGCAGGCCTCCCGCACACCTCTCCACCTCCTCCACTCCGCCCGGACTGGAAAGCAAACTCCGGGAAATGGAGAGGGAGAAAAGCCAAGAGGTTGTCCAAATAGTGAAAGCTCACAAACAACAGGTGGATCAACTTCTGGGCAGTTGCAGGGTGGGGGTGGGGCAAGGGGCGTCTCCTCCGTTTAGGTTTTAGTCTTTGCTGGCTGTGTAGCCCCTGGCAAGTCACTTTGATCTCTGAGCCTCCCCAAATGATTGTGAGAATCTGCTGGCTGGCCAGACTGTCTTCAAAGCCTCTTGGAAAGAAATCCCCACATTAAGGGACAATGATTATGCCGCCTGCAGCTAGGGCAAAGGGCCCTGTTGTTCTCACATTATTGTCAAGATGTTTCCCAGCCAGTTCAAAGAGCATGATGCACTGGCAGAGTGTCCCCAGCAGGAGAGACCAGACCGATGCGGGGGTGGGGGTGGGGGTGGGGGTGGTCGGTGTGTAGCCGGCCGGCAGGGAAGCCATGGCTTGCACTCACCACTGCAGCCCAGTTCTTACGTGAGCCCCCATCCCTCTTCCAGGCCCATGGAACCCCAGAGCCCTGCACCTTCAACAGGGGAGGCCAGAGGAGCCGGAGGAGAGGGGCAGCGGGAGAGCCTCAATCTTCTCCCAGTTGGACAAGACAGGAGAGTTCTGATGGTGAGAGTGGGAGGGGGTGGGGACTCAGCCAGGACCCCGCTGGCTGGGCTGCTGGTCTTCTGTCTTTCTCCTCTCCTATCTCATGGCCCCATCAGTGGGATGCTATGAAAGGGTAACCTGGCGGGGCACGGGGGACGGAAGGGCTGCACAGGAGACCTAAGCTCTGGGCCACAGACTCTGGCCACTCCTTTCCCGCTCCTCCATTATGAGATAGGGTCAGATTCAGTGCCGTCTTGAGGGCCCTTCAGCTCCATCAGCCTGTGGGTCCATGATCCTCTCTGCCTGGTTTAGTCACCTAGAAACCAGCGGTTACTAGGGTCCTGTGCGCGTCAGCAGCTGTTACTGTCTCCAGCTTCTGCACATTCCTTTTGCAGAACAAGGACAGAGAGCCTGGGCAGCCTCAAGACTGGACTACAGAGGGGACAGAGCAAGGAGAGGAGGATTCCCTTTGTTCTCTAGCCCATGCCTTTGATTGGGAGGAGACAAATAATCTCTTTGGGGCCATCATCACCTGCGGCCCATCCCATGTCCCACCTCTTGGCCCTGGGGTGCGGGTGGCAGGGTAAGGTAGGTGGTTGACATCTCCACTCTCTAAGGACCTGGGAGGAGAGATGAGATGCCCAAACTCTCATTAGCCAGCAAGTCCTAGCTGGTAGCATCTGATATCATCACACCTCACCCTAAGACTTCTCTAGACCATACCCATCCTGTTCCCTCTGAACCCAGCTCTGCCTCCCCAGAGTTCCGCAGAGAACACGCAGCCTTGATGAGTTATTCATGGGCCCAAGTCCTCACCTCCGGCCTTCCTGAGGCAGCGCCCAATCTTCCCCTCTCCAGCTCTCCCCAGACTGAGGGTTCAGGACGGACTCCATGCTGCTGATCTGACCGTGGTCTGTCCCCACCTCCACTCCACACCCTACTCTTGAAACTAGTCCCATCCCTGCCCTGAAAAACGTCGTTTGGGCTGGAGACTGTGAACAGGTCTGGATACAAAGGTGGAGGCTTGGAGCAAGTGGCCTGATAGCCATCTAGTCTCCAGGCTGACTCCAAGGAGGGGCATGCTGCATGGGATTTAGGCTGAGGACAGGACAGGGGACAGAAACAGACAGAAGGAACCCTGTACTTGGAATGGGCTTCCTGAGCAGTGGATAGAATTTTGGAAACAGAATCATAGACTCCTAAGATCTCAGAATAAGGACCCAGAAGATATTAGAAACCCAGGGGCTCAAAGTTTCTCTTGAGCTCACACAAGGTTGTGGGGAGGGGGGGCGGGCGGTGTTTAGGTTGGAGACGGAGATCTCTCTCTTTGGGTCTATACCTGGCTTCTGCCTCCTACCCTGGGGAAGGGGAGAAGTCCACAGGGCCCACCTTGGCATGTGTGATCCAAGGAGGTGGACACGCTAGGTCACCCTGGTCTAGCGGGGGGCCCCACAGCTTGCTGGGGGCAGACTGAGGCTCAGGAGAATTCCGCCTCTCCTACAGAGCCGTTCGAACACCAGGTGTGCTCTTCAGAGAAGAGCGTGCGGATTTTGCAGCTTCTCCCAGCCTCCCTTCTGAAATCATCAGCTTCGTTGTGCTGCTGCCACCCCCTCCCCCCAAAACACACACCTCCTGAAGATGGAGAAACAGGCCCAGAAAGGAGCAGGGATCGAGTCAGGTCCTGGCGTGGCACGCTGCCAGTCCAGAGCTCTTTCTGTCACAGATCTCTGCCCCTTCTACCGATGCCCCCAATCCAAGTGCGTTTCTACCTGCGTTTATTCTTGGGCTAGAAGAGCGCCCAAGGCAGTTCTTCAAAGCAGGGGACCCGCCAGCTGCAGTGCTCCCTCCCTTACCCCTGGGGGCTGCCAGTCTCCCCGGGAACCTCCGGGTGCCACAGCTCTAGGCCCTTTTCTGTGGCCGCACCCCCTTCAGACCTGCCTGGAGGGCAGCAGCTTAGGTCCAGAGGCGGCAGGGATGTCGCAAGGCGACTCTGAGGTAGCCTTGGGGAAGAAATTGCGAACTCGGGGAGAGGGATTTGGCTCCCCTATTCACTCTGCCCCCCAGGGCACCCCACTCTCCCATAGGTGGAACTGCAAGGCAACTGATGGTCTGGGGGTGGGGGTCACGGTGCAGGAGAGGGAGGCAACGGAGTATAGGGTATCCCTCTCACCTAGGTGTCGGCCTCCTGGAGGGGAGCCCGGGAAGAGGGGTGCCTCTCCACCGAGAGCGGGACCCCTGGGGACTATGTGCATTCCCTGGCCCCCCACCCCAGAGGCTACTCACCTTCGACTTCTCCTGCCCCTGGCTCGGCGGGACGAAGCCGGCCAGGAGCAGGGACAAAAGGCAGGATGCCCGGAGCAGCCGGGCCATGGCGGGCTGGGGGGCGTCTCAGGCTTGCTGCCTGAGACACTGTCTGATCCCGGGCCACCGTCCGACTGAAGTGTCGGGCGCTCTCAGCCACCTTTCAAGCCCTCAGTGGTGACCAATCCGTGGCCGGCCCGGAGTCCTTGTAGCCAATCGCAGGGCGGCTGGCATTTCAGGGGCGGGCACGATTTACCCGTGTCTCCCCCTCCCCGGGCTCCGGGCGACAGTGACGTAAGCAAGTCTGGGCATAGATCCGGAGTCGATTCTCGTGCACCTGGGAGGCGGGCCCCTCTTCTTTTGGCTCTAAAGTGCAGGAGGGGGCAGGCACAGTGCCTCCATCATAGCCAGGGCTTCAAACAGCACCGAAAAACTGATGGAGAGCTCAGTCCTCAGAAGCATTTCTTACTCCCAGGCTTTAAACACCCCGTGGTGCTCCCGCTTCCCTACTGCCCACATTCTGGTTGAAAGTATGTTGAGGATTTAAATTATTAGCAAGACCTGAAGTTAGACTTCCAGCAACATTTACTCTGTGTAGGTTTAATGTTTCAGAAGCAAACTGGTTGCTCTAGGACTTTGAATGCAGCCCCCTCCTGGGAGGACCTTGGGACACCTCAGCTGCTTTGGGAGCAGGAAATACATTTGCTCCCTGTACAGTCTTGAACCAGTTGCCTTCCCTCTCTGGGCCTCAGTTTCCCCAACTGTGTAATGGGCTTGGTTGATGATTTTTCAAGGCCTTGCTGATTCTGGCTGGATGACTTGCTTCTAAAATAAGCAACAGACCAGGAGTCCCTTGAGAGTAGGGCGCATAATTACTGCCTGGAACAGAGCCTAGAATGCAACATGCTTACTATTTGCTGCATTACTCAATCCATGAACTCATTTCTCTGCTGGGAGATGCTGATCGTCGGGCCAGGTAGCTCCAGGTCCGTGCTGTCCAGGTATGGCCCTGCCCGCAGACAGGGGAGTGCATTGACATCCGAGCTCGCTCTCCGCAGCTGTCTGGCTGCCTCGGAAGTTTGCAATGCAGGTTTTCCGCCCCCCTGCAGAGTCACTGCCTTAGAACCTCAGGGGCAGAGGCTGAGAATCTGCCTTCAGACGTGCTCCAAGGGTGATTCTGAGGCAGGTGATCCTGAGCCTTCTGACGGGGAAGGATCTTGAGGTACCACTTTTTTTTTTATGACTTAAAATATTATGTTCCTATGGGAGTTTCCCAGGTCAGTCTCCAGGCCCAGGTTCTCTGTGAAGCCTTCCTCACCTCAAACCATAGCTGTAGAAATGAAGGCCAGGAAGTCTGTGAATGAGGAAAGCACAGAAACATTTGAACACCGGCTGACACAGTGGAGTCTGTGCTCAGTGCATGTGATTTATTCAACCACCTCATTCCGCTGAAGCTCGGGGATGGGGAACCATTTCCCTAAGTGCCCATGGCAAAGAGGAGGTGGAGGGGAGACCAGAACCCAGGTCTCTAGACTCCAGGCTCAGGCCCCCTTCACTCTGTTCTGTCATCTTTTCACTGTCATGTATGCCCAGGGGCACACACACCTGCACACCTATCCATGTGTCAGAAACCCGCCATTCGTTTGCATCTGTAACCCTCTAGTGACTCAAAATGTGTGCCTAGCATGGCGCTAACACCCTGAGAGATGTCAGAGTTTTCTAGAAGTGATAACCCCTGCCCTCGAGGGGTTATAGTGAGGATTGGGAGGAGGCAAGAGCGCACTTGGGATGGGGCACGTTGAGCACCTGGGGTCCTGCAAGTGTGGAGTTGGCACCGGAGAGTGAGCACCTCCTAGGGTTCTGCACCCCATGTGCTGACTTGCCTCACCCAAGCCCCAGCCCTGCTGTCCAGTTTCTCTGGTGGAAACGAGAAGGTCTGAGAGGCCGAGGCCGCCTGTGGGGCTGTAGACAAGGTGCTTCCCTTCTCCGGGCCTTCATGGACCCATCCGGTAAACGAGGGATTTTGACAGTCCCTCAGGGTGTCCTCTGTGGCCCTGCAGTGCCAGGGGTCTGAGGAAGGCCATGCTGCACCAAACTGAGGGGGCCTGATCTCACGGACAGTGGGGTGAGGGGTGAAGGGAGCACGACCTGGTGCTGAGGAGGCCTTCAGGCCGCAAGACAGCTTCCAGCCGAGGTCTGAGCCTCAGCACGGAGCGCGTGGAGGCGAGAAGGAAAACAGCACCTCCCAGTCTTCCCACCACCGGTTTTCAAGCACAATTTGGTCGATTTGTTCCCAGGAACCCTCTGTTTTGAAAGGTGTTATGCTCCACCAGGCTGTTTCCTCTTGCTCTCAGGCTGAAGTCCAAATTCTTCAGCGCTTCAGACAACGTCCTCAAAGTCCAGCCAGTTCCCCGTCTTGCCACACTGCTCTTGCTCTGTCTCCCTGCTGTGCTGGACTTTAGTCGGCTCTTCCAACATGCCATTCTCTCTCGCCTCCGGGTTTTGTCTCTGCTGTGTCTGGAGCGCACCACGGTCTCTCCTTCACAGGTTCTCTCCTACCGTTTGTCAGGTCTCCACTTGGAGTCACTTCTTAAGAAAAAAGTTTCGTTTGGGTCTCCTTATAGAGTCCCCTTATGATAGTTCAGATCCCCTTATAGCTCCTAGTGCATTTGACACTTTCTATATTAACCCTCTGCAATACTTTATTATTATTTCTTGTCTGTTTTCTACACTAAATCATAAGGCACACAAAAGCTTTGTTCCCAGTACTTTGCACAGGATTTAATGCATAGTAGATACTCAATCAAAATCTACTCAGTAAAACAGTACTTGGAGTAAAGAATAAGCAGAGTTTCAGGTCAGCACATGCTAACAAGGTTGAGCCCACAAAAACTGGTCTGATTCCACCTGCTAGTAAGACTCAGCTGTTTGAATTATGCCGAGTGAGCCTGTCAGAGGAGAGTAGGTGATTTGCATGGGGTTTTGGGAAGGGAAGGGTGGAGACGGATGCTGTAGACAAGTCATAAGCCAGTTTTGCTTCCAGCCCGAGGAAGTGCTCTGCTACATCCCCAACCAGTGGGCACGTAGTACCTTTTCACCCTCTTTTTTGACGCATGTACAGGGAGCGTGCTACATACCCAGAATATATGCTTGGTGAGCGAATAGGGGCTGCAGGTGACTTAGAAGGAGATTAAAAAAGAAGTGTTGATGTTTTTGTGTCTCCAAGGAACATAGAACATGAGTTAATAAACTAAAAAGGCTGTAAAAGCCCAAATGATGAAACCCAGCCCCGTCATTGTTAAGTAAGTGCTGGACTCAGGGATGGGGTCAGCCGCCCAGCAAGTGGGTCCGGGTGGAGGCAACAGCAGGGAGGCCCAGCCCCCATCGCTTCAGCGCCAACTTCCCAGAGTGGCCCTGTTTCGCAATCAAAACGGGATTGCAGAACCTAGGTTGGGCCAGATGCTGGTTTTCTGAAGAAGCAGCAGATCCAGTCTCAGAGCCAGCCAGGAGACAGGGAGTCTATGAAGAGGGGAGGGGGCTGGAGCCTTTGCTTTGGAGCCCAGTGCCTTCTGAGCTCCGAGCCTCGGTTTCCTCATCTGTGGAGTGGGGAGTCAGACAAGTTCATCTCAAGGGCCAAGTTTTTGGGTAGTAAGAGTAACAGCCAGTGCTCACCCAACATCCTGTCTGTACCAGGTACTATTTTACAGATGAGGAAACAAATACACAGAGAAGTTACATGTATTTACTTAATTAATGCCATGCAGTTGGTAGGTGGCAGAACTAGGATTCTGACCCAGATATACTGTCTCCAGAGTCCTTGCCATTCATCTCCAAGCCTGTGCTGGCAACTTACCAGCCACTGAATGAGTGTGGCTAGTGAGCACTTGAAATGCATGTAATCCAAATTGAGATGTGCTATCAACATAACTACACATTGTTTTTTGAAGACTTAGTATGAAAAAAAGAATGTAAAAATATCTCAGTAAATCTTTACATCATTACATGTTGAAATCTTAGTATTTTTATAGTTGGGTTAAAGAAAACCCATTTTTCTTGAAATTAACTTCACTTGTTTTTATTTTAAAGGGTGACTTTTGGAAAATTTAGAATGATACACGGAACTGATGTTTGATTTCTGTTGGACAGTGCTAGTTTAAGCTATCTGCTTATAGGAGATCGGTATAGGGTTATGGTCTCTGTGAAATCTAGGCTTAGCTCCTCCTGTCTGAGGTCGCCCAAGACCACCTCCAGGTTCAGTGACTCACTAGGAGGACCTACAGAACCCAGCCGGTGATCACATTCGCACGATGATTTATTACGGTGAAAAGATACAAAGCAAAATCAGCACAGGGGAAAGGTGCGTGGGACAAAATCTGGAAGAAGCCAGGTACAAGCTTCCAGGAGTCCTCTCCCCGGGGAGCTGCACAGGATGAACTCAACTAACTCCTCTAGCGACAGACCGTGACCACGCGTGTAACGTGCTGTCTACCAGGGATGCTCAGTGCCCAGGGCTTCTGTTGAGGGCCAGCCGTGTGGGCATCGTCTGCACAGCACAGAACTGCAGGCTCCCAGGAGGAAAGCTGGTGTGCAGCACAAACCGCATCGTTAGTCCAGGCAGTGGAGGCACAGGGAGCCACTCTTATCAGTTCTGGAAGGACAGAAATCCTCCTGAGATCCAAGTTCCTGACTGCCGCCCCGGACCGACTGTGCAAGCAGGTCTTCTGAGAATAGCAGTCTCAGACCTGCTTCCCAAACTCTTCTTCCGTCTCCTGGTTTAATTTCAACAGGACTTGGCCTGGCAAACACAGGCCTCGGCACAGGACGCCCACTCCCTCCCAAGTCTGCTTTGTTGGAGGGAGCATGATAAGAAGGGCAAGAGGCCCTAGAAACTACCTCTTTCAACCCTCTCTTGTGAGAGGCTGGGGCTCAGAGAGATTGCGTTATCCGTCCAGGGTCCCACAGCAAGTACAGGTGTGTGTAAGAGTCCACAGTTCCAAGCTTTGAGTCAAAATGTCCCTTCCCACCCAGGCTGGTGTGGCTCAGTTGGTTGGGCGTCGTCGCGAAAACCGAAAGGTTGCAGATTTGATACCCAGTCAGGGCACATACCTGGGTTGCAGGTTTGGTCCCCGGTCGGGGCATGTACGACAGG